TCCTATTCTTTGTACTAGAGACAAGTTGTAATAATGCAATTTGCAAAGCCTCTGCACAGCCCTTTTAACAAAAATAGCGATGAAACAGCAAACAATGGTTTAACGTTAATCTGCATGATATTGTAAACATTGCTTGAATGCTTGCTGGGCGGAAGCGTAATAAACCTGAGTGCCACACCTTCTCAAACCACAGGGATCCAGGAAGAAAATGGGGAAAAAATTAGTTGTCGGACTTAGAAAAGTTGGAATCTTTGAGAAAAAATATTATGAATTTCAGAATAATATGTATTCAACTGGTCATTTTGATTTAATGATTTCATGATTTGTCTGCGCATGCCCGCTTTTATGAGTTACTCATGCGTATGCTTGTAAATAAGCCTCTTTGCTTTAGACCTAGACCGTAGACCTACACAAATTTGCACTAGATTGGTACAATTTTGTGAGCTAACTTTTTCACGGATGTATGGTGTATTTTTTAATGATATTTTCGCATCACGGTACAAGTTAATGCTTTTTTTGTGTGGGTAAGCTCTCGTTCTAACCGGCCGAAAGAACCTATTAGATTATAAAACAATAGAATGAGGCAGTAACACAATAGATTCGTTCTATTGTTTACAATCAGATGTCTTTTTTGTTCCAATGACAAGTGTTAATTACTCAGGGGAATTCTAGGCTCCAGTCACTAAATAATAACCCGCAGATGAAGAGTTATTGCGGCTCCATAATTCAAACTTTCTGGTCCGAATCACTGTTGAGCGGCCTTAAACTGGTTAAACTATTTAGTCAGTCCCTGGTAACTGAAGGTAAGTGTTTAACAAGTAGCGTATATTTGTAGAAACCATTAAATTAGGGGGCTGGTTTAAGCACTACGCTGAAAACCATGAACTGTGATTCAAATTTAACGCGCTTATTTACAATTATCATCAAAAGTAGTATTAAATGACAAACTTACCGCTTATTAATCAGTTTAATGTTGGCAGAAATGGTGTTTATGCGCTATAGCTTTCTGTTCCAGAGGATACACACGAACTAGCCCAAAGGTCTCAAATGCATATTTGATAGTATGTATATATATATACTATCAAATATATGGTATGTGCATGGGAATTTTAAACTCGTGAATGATGCGCTTATTTATTTTCCGTCAAATAACAATTATCATGAATGAAGAGAGCCTTTCGTAAGATTATTATTTCATTATCAATACGACACTTCAAATATACTTTGCAAGTTAATTCCCGCAAGTTGGCATTGGGCTGAGTACGATATGGTAGACTGCAAACACTTAAGAAACTGTTATATTGTGGATTTTCCCGCGCGACGAGTACGATAATGTATGATAATGGTAGAGTGCAAACAGTTAATGAATGATAAAATCGTCGCGGATGGAAATGTTTAATAAATATATATATATATTTCAATAACTATAAGATTGATCTTTCATTTTCAACAAAATTTTTGCTAAAAATCATCTGCTAATCCTTAAAATAAATTAATTATTGGAGGGAAAATAAATCAAAACCGAAGGTGTCATAATCCTTGTTAATCCTCGAGTCGATTATTTTGTGGATTTTCCATTGTTTTCTTTTGTTTTATATTGGCTTTTTCAGGTCACTAATGATACAAATTTGCTTCGGTTCACGGGCCAAATAAAATCACTCTTAACCTCTTTTTTTTCCTGTCAACTTCCCCCCCCCCCCCCTCTTAGTGTCGTAGGATAAACAATTCGCATTAGGGGACCGAGCGTTTATTATACAAGTAGCAGGGGGAGGGGGGTACAGGCTAAAAAACGATTCGTACCCTCTAAATATGTCAAGTAAAAAAATGTACCCCTCTTCATCCTTATTTAGAAAAATATATGTTGTGTTGCTCAGCAGCTCAAATTCAAAGTTACCGAGCTGCATGATAGGATAAAACCTAAGACTTTACTCTCCCCCC